GGGAGAAAGATATGAATATACTGGTAGTAGGGATGGAGTTCCATCATCGGGATCGGTATGTACGCAGATTTATGGCGCTTTAATAATATGAGACCTAGGGATGGTTACACAGTACGGATGTGCAGTCACAGAAGATTTTGTTGAACATGAACTGGATGTTACTGGAATACTACCCAGCTCCAGGGAAGGCTTGAGAAAGAAGTATCTGTATCAAAACTATGAGTAAACTTTAATTGGCCCATACAACCTCAGAGCAGGTCCATGCTTTTTAAAGCTCAGAGGTACCTGTACAAGATTGAGCTTGATTGTACTAGTAACTTTTAACATCTACAGCCTGTTGTATGAACCAGGGGTGATAGTGAGCACTAAAAAAAAAATAGGTTTTTTTGTTTTCCCTTCAACCGCGCCCCCCTTGAGTAAAAAAAAAAAGAAGAGGATTCGCGGGGAAAAAGTGGCATTTAACATTCCCCCCTTTCGAGTAAGAAAATTGGGACAAAATTGGGGAAAAAATAGGGCAAGATTAGGAAGAATAGAGAAAATAAGAGGGAAATCGGGAAAATCAGGATAAAATAGAGAAGAAAAAAAAGATTGGTAAAAAAAAAAAAAAAAAAAAAAAAAAAATCTGGATTTTTTTTTTTTTTTTTTTTTTTTTTTAAATCGGGAAAAAAAAAAATCGGGAAAAAATCGGGAAAAATAAAAAAAAATCGGGAAACCGATTTAAATCGGGTTTTTATCAGGCCTGGTATGAACCCAACTATTGAAGGCTATGTATTACCTCTCAGTTGCGTCTTGCAATGTGTAAGATGATCTGTCTAATTCGTTCTTTGGTTGGATCAAAATTATATCTAGATCTGGGGACATTTTAACACTGCCATCAAGACTCAGGTCTCAAAACCTTTATGAACTTGAGTTTACATACTAGGAATCACAGCAGAGCCAGGATTTTTCAATAGGGGGGGGGGGGGGGGGGGGCCAGACATGAAGGATCGACTAAGCAGACAAAAAATCTGCATCACCACCACTAATACATGCAGGCCTCGCCGAACGTTTTTCAAAGTAGGTTGGGGAGGCTAAAGTATTTACGATCAGGGAGAGCGTAGGGTAAATTGGCATGGGGTCTAGTGGGCAAATCCCCGAGGGGGTCAAGATGCAAAGCCCCCGGATGCTCAGGGGGTATGGGCATTTAATTACGGTCAGATGAGCATATTTTGATACCTTATTCATGACTCTGGCAGGTCACTAATTGGTGTTGGGTCCAGGTGGCTGAGCCCCATGAAACTCATGGATTTTCAGGCATTTTATAACAGTCAGATAAGCATTCAGGGGCCCGCCTTAGGGCATCTGGTGGGGTCGAGAGGATGGAGACCCCGGAAGCTCTGGGTTTTGGGCATTAAATTACGGTCAGATGAGCATCCAGGGGCCTGCTTTAGGGCCCTGGTTGGGTCCAGGGGGCAGAGCCCCGGAAGCTCAGGGATTTTTGGCATTAAATTATGGTCAGTTGAGCATCAAGGGGCCCGCATTAGGGCCCTTGGTTGGGTCCAGGGGGCAGAGCCCCGGAAGCTCAGGGTTTTTTGGCATTAAATTATGATCAGATGAGCATCGAGGGGCCCGCTGTAGGGTCCTTGGTTGGGGCAGGAAGCTCAGGGGTTTAGGCGTTTCATTACGGTTTGATGAGCCAAAAGACTGGAACTATGACTATTCCCATGGATATCAGAGCAATGTTAACGTAGAATAATGCAGACCAGAACTTGTCTAAATAATAATTATAATAATACACAACATTTATTAGGCGCTTAATACGGGTGTTTTTAAGCACACCATTGTCTGACTAAAAATTACTAACCAAAGCTTATAATAAACACACAAAATATATATCTGTTCTTTATTCAATAAATCATGCATATATATAATAATAATAAAAATAAAAATGAGATCGAACATAATTAAGGTCAGACATAAGATCAAACATAAGATCTAACAAACAAGGAATAAGATGGTGTGCACCTTCTTTGACCGACTCACAACTGGAGAATATCATTCATGAATTTAAAAGATGCATTTTCAGCAAGGTCTTAAACTGGTCAAGAGAATGAGTATTAGGAATATGCGCTGGTAATTTATTCCAAAGGATGGGGGCATTGACTGACAAAAAGCTTAATCGCCATATTTTGTAACGGTATGAGGTCCAAGGGTTAACTGCAAGGTTGATGATGATCAAAGAGGTCTTAAAGAACTAGAAGTACGTAAGGAAATCAAATCTGATTTTTTTTTTTTTTAAACTAATGTAGGTCCTGAAGATACTGACTTCCAGTCATTTACTACTCTGGCAATAAAAGTAATTTGCCTGATAAATACATTTCACATGGTTGCAACTTTAAATGTTTACTAAATGCATGTTCACTGTGCGTGTCTACAAGACTCTACATCAAGTACATGTAGGTAGGCCTAAGCACATGTACATGTAGTTTGCAACTGCATAACAATTAAAATTTCAACAAACATCTACAGACACATAAACAGCATTGTGAGCTAGTTAATGTAGGAACTAACCACCAATCATTAACTTGGCACAGCAGTGATGTTATGAATTCTCTCCAGTTTCCACCTCATAAACTTTGCACAATAATGTGTGCATGCATGCTTTGATACTATGGGTTATCCAAAGTACTGGTACCCAACATTAGATTACATATAATATAAAAGTACACATACACAACATATACAATTAGGTAGGTTGGGTAACCTGGCAATAGGGCTGATTCAGCACAGCTAGTGCAGAAGCTAAGTAAAAATTGGACCTCTACATTTCATGTTTTTTACCATCTAGGATTCCCATCTTAAAGTTTCTCATTATCTCTTTTATATTTTACACATTACTTCCATTACTAATTAATCTGAAATATTAGTGTTATAAAAAGGGGATAGTCAATGAAAAAAAATGAACTGAAGTAAATGCAATAGTTGATTCAACTGTCTTTGCTAACTCGGCCCCACTCAGTGACTCTCCACCAAATCCAAGATGATACTAGTGTCGAGTTGGCTCAGGATCCTTCAAAATTATAGCTCCGCTCTAAAGTCTATTTCATCTTTTAAAAATATTTTTTCACTTTCATGTATATGTATGTACCCATATGGTGGTGTGACCACGGTTTGCATGTGACCTTTATTCACGGACAGTTCCATATCTATAAAAAAAAAAAAAAAAATAAGACTGTGTCCCCTACGTGTATCCTCTGCCCTAAATTCAGTATACGAAATGGATGGAATTATATGTGACATATCACAATGAAATCAAAAAGCCTATCTCTTGTGGTTCTTGAAATAAGGCAATAGCAAGGCTAAAACCTGGAATTTAATAAATTGACCTCTGTGACCTTTGAGCCTAAAATGTAATCAGATCATCTTCCCAAGTTGATTACTACAATGTACCACCAAGTTTGAGCCTCGATTCTCCAGTGGTTCTTGACATATTGCGATACCAAGGCTACATGTACATGTACAGGTGTATATATATAGAATTTCAAAAATTGACCTTTGACCTTTGAATTAGTTACTCCAAAATCTAATTAGATTATCTTCCTATGGTGAAACATTATCACCAAGTTAGAGCATCATATCTCAAGTGGTTCTAGAGACATCACAAAAACAAAACCAATGCCTGGAATTTCACAAGTTGGCCTCTGTGAACTTTGACCTAGTTACTCGAAAATCTAAAGAGATCATCTTCCTACGGTGATACACTACATATCATCCCTAAGTTTGAGCCTCACATCATTATTGGTTCTTGAGAAATCGCAAAAACAAAGCGAATACCTTGAATTTCATAAGTTGACCTCTATGACCTTTGACCTAGTTGCTCAAAAATCCAATCAGGTTGTCTTCCTATTTGGTGATACATATATCATCAAGTTTGAAGTCATATCTCAAGTACAGTAGTACGGGACGGACACACACGCACAACCCGAAAACATAATGCCTACGGTACCACCTTTGGTGGGCGCATAACAACAAAAAACGGTAGGATTTAGACAATTTGATTCTGATATCACAAATGGAAAAAGGAACTTAAAATTATCTAGTGACAACATTTTCTTTGGAATTGGATGTGAAGTTATGAAAATATCAACTTTTGTGTCCATTCCGAAAAATATAAACTTATCAACAAGCATCCAAATATTGTCACATTCGGGCAGCAAGGTGCCTGAATGTTTCTTATATTTTTATAGTCGTGGTCGAGTGGATATGTCACCGGACTGTGGATCACAAGGTCCGTGGTTCAAGTCCTGCCATGGCACTTAAGTCTTTTGGCAAGACATTGATCTACATTTGCCACTCTCCACCCAGGTGTTAAATGGATACCAAGTAGGATGCAAAAGTTAATGTGCTTAGATTAGCACATGTGCCCTTGTAAAAATGACGCCTGGCTAGAATGCTCCCCAGGGAGTGGTGAATGTGCATACATTGTGTGCAGGTAAGCCTGAATCCGATGACCGGGGTATCTGTAAATTAGCGCTTTGAGAGGGCCTGCGGTCCTGAAAAGCGCTATATAATAACGAGCTATTATATTATTATAACATGTACATCGAAATTACATTTTGACCATGCATTCACCTTCGCTCGACTCACTCAGAACATTTAGAAACAAGATAATTCTGGACAACAAGATGCCTGAATATATTATTCTTGCATCGATCGAGGTGACCAAATATACGACTTTCCTATTCATGTATTTTGGCAGCGAGGTGCCAGCATACATGTACCTGTAGACCCTACATAATATCTTACCTACGTCCTACAGTGCGTTTTGTTAACAAAATAACATTTTCATTTTATTTTTACTAAACTAAAAATTGTCATTGTGTTTTGCTCGCTCACTTGCAAATTTTAGAAACAAAATTGGTGTTTACAATTACTCTTGCTATTCGTACTTCACGTTCCAAATATTCAACTAAACGGAACTTTAACTAAATAGACAAAGTAACAACATGATCTTTACTTACATTTTTCTGTTTGTCTTCGGTAAGGAAGACCTCTTTCCGTAGTTCATATTAAGATCCAAACTAATTCTTGAGCACAAGGTGAGGTGACATCACAGTGTCGCCGAACTTAAAAATAGAAGAGAGGCAACATTTGTCGTAATTCATCCTAAAAAGCGTTCATATCATACCCCACACAAATTCTTAGAGGTGGGCTTTGCCAATAAAAATGCCGACAACACAAGCGACAAGCCTTGATGATCATGTGCAAAGGAACAAGTTGTCTGTACCCTTGAGTCTGTATAACTGTAGTAGTATTACGGTTGTTGTTGCGTACACAATTAGGATGCTCCTCTGGTCCCTGGATTTTGGCCCCCTAGCTCTTTCCACCACACCACTGCCAGTACCGAAAAGCTCTAGTGCAGTGGTACAACAACGGTGGCCCTGCGTGGCTTTCGGGATTTATTATTTAATAAGCGCTAGCGATCTGGACATGAGACTATTATGTCACCAAATCGCAAAGTCGTCAGTCGCGCATGCTATGAAATCTTGATTTGAAGGAACTCGGTTTTACAGATTAACACGCGTTTCGTCGTGTATCGCAGCGACGACATAAAGATCATAGAGCGCAGCTCACGGACGAGTGTGCGATGTGTTTCTATATATGCGTGTGACCCGATAGTCTCATGTCCAGATCCCTAGCGCTTATTATATAACATAGTACCAAAAGTGCACAGACAGTTTCTTTGTTTGACAGCAAAATACGACTCTTATATCCAGAAAAAATTCTGCGATCTAGCAAATTATCGGTCACACCAAAGAGATCACAATACATGCTGTACATAAGAAGTCACAGTCTGCATACATTATTTTGTTGTTTACGGCATGTTAAGCATGCAGTGACCGTCGTACCACCAATCTATTTTGCACAACGTTAAAAAGGTTAAACCTAAATAGAGAGTGAGGAAGGGAATTTATAATTACATAGAAGTGTTAATTTCAGGCCTGACGGAAATGCTTGTTAAGGTCAAGTGAGATGATGAATTTATTGAAAGAAAGACCAATTACGACAAATAAACAAAATAGGCACTGCAACAAAATCGAAAGAAAGAAGAGAAGAAAGAAAAAGCCGGAAAAAAAAGAACCAAAGAAAGAGTGAGACAGAAAAAGTAAGAACTGTTTCAAAGTGCAAAGCTAACATATTAAATGAAAATAACAGACAAAAAAGTGTCATTTGAATCAATAGGCAACGGGGGTTGAGTAAAATGCGGTATTGAGAGAAAAGAAAAGGGAAAGAGAGGGAAAATGTGAGAAAAGGAGGACTAAATCCCAAAATGACGAAGGAACTGAGACTTGGAATCTGGAAAACATGAAAAGGGAGAGGACAGGAAGAGAGATAAAGAAGAAGAGATGAAAGTGACGGACTATAGTACAGTGCATCTACCTCCAATTCAAATTTGACAAAAGACGAATTCTTTCAAAGGAGTTGACTAATAATATTGCTCCCTAATTTTTAACATGCATGCGAATACACTTACGGGCTCAGGAATTCAGAGATCAAAAGCTCACTTTAGAAAAATCCAAAAACAACTTTAAACGAATAGGATTCATGTATTCAAGTGTTCAAATTTGAACACTTTAATAAATAAATCCTATTCGTTTAGAGTTGGTTTTTCTAAAGTGAGCTTTTGATCAGAATTCCTGAGCCCGTAAAGTGTATTCTTTTAGGGAAATGCATTCGCATAATAAATAAATAGCATTTTTTTTTAAAATTATGTAGTTTAAAGGTCTGTGCTATAAAGCTTGTTTTTCCAACGTATTTCAACACGGTCAACTCTAGGAATAAAGCAGATTTTATGTGTGAAGCCATACATAGTTTTGGGCTCATCACAAAATGTCCTACGGTTATGCAACAAAAAACTCGTTGCTATTAATTAATAATGTTTTTTATACCACTCTATCAAATTTCTTTGTCACAGTAGTAATACGCTTTGTGATAAAATAAACATTTTACATGGATATGTATTCGACATGTTATTTTTGTTACCAACTTGAATACATTTTGTGACATTGTGTTATGTTGTTGTTAATAAATTCAAATTCAAATTCAAATTCATTTTTTTTAAATGTAAGTGAAAGTGCAAATGAAAGGTCCGAATGATGGAGAGCGGTACCATTTTTTTTTTTGGGGGGGGGGTTGGGGAGGTTTTGGGGAACTCGGGGTCCTTGCATTCATTTTCTACATTATTTTCCCCTGTGCTTTTTTGTTCGGGGCGGGGGGGGGGCTTGAACAAATTGGAGGCTTGGGCCCCGCCCCTCCCTTGCCCCCCCCCCCCCAATAACCTTGACTTGCTACTTCAAATTCAAAATGTTATGGTTAGTGTTGATCCATGCGGGGCTCACGTGGGTCCTGCCTGCATTGCCTCTCCCCATTTATGTTTTCTTTCTTGTTAGTGATTTTGGAAATTGGAGCCCATTTTCAAGTACGATGAGCCATTTATTATTATTATTATTGTTATTAAAGTCAATTCTGAATATTTCCATATAGGTTTAAAGCATGCATTATGAATTCGAATACCATATAGGCCTATTTTGTTTGTTTGTGTGTGTGTGTGTGTGCAGAATCATATAGATAAATGATCATGGTGCACGGTACAAGTTGAAATAAAGGCCCCTTTTACGTAGATGAGTTTGACTGAGATAGAATACAGCCACCACAGATTTCAATTATATGGCAGACAAAAGAATATGATTTAGTAATTTAAATTTGGTTAAGAATACCTTATAATTGTTCCTAACTTGTCACGAAAGAGTGGGGACTTTTTTGACGCGGAGTGGTGGCCACGAACAAGACAGTATTCGGCTCGGAAAATTTAAATGGAAAAAAAAAAGTTCAATTATCAATTATTTGATTCCCAGCAGTGGTATAACAAGTCTAGTCCTTTGGTAAGACATTCTACATTTGCCATCCTCAACCCAGTTGTATTTACATGGGTACCTGCGTGCCATGGTGGGAAGCCATTCCATATTTCCATGAACGCTTTCAGTGCCTTTGGGTGTGTCTTATAAAACAATAGTATATAGTTCATATAGTATGTGTATAGCACAGCATTTACGAGCTCTTGCAGCGCTGTAGAATAATCCACATAGTTATTGCGCTTTACAAATGAATATTATTATTATTATTGTTATTATTATTATTATTATTATTATTATTATTAGTTATGTGTACATATAGGTGCCTGTGATTGATACATGCAAAATATACAAATAATAAATCTTTATATAATTATCATACTTCTGTCCATTTTTTTGAAACTTCATTTCGGATGCAATGCCTACAATCCCCTTATCTTTTTCCTCCACCATCAAGAAGAATGTACAATCATTTTTCCATTAGTGAAAAGAGCGATTGCATAACATAAGTACCAATTAAAGGACGAAAAACTACAGAACTAGAATAGTGTGATATTCTGTAAACTGTTTTCCCCCTCCAGCTCCCTCGCAGATCATTATGATTATAATTAACGAAAGACGAGTAATGTATGTATTGACCCCTTTGCCATACACGACTGACCTGTTGTAATCTCAATCAATCTAAACAAAAAACAGCATAATTTATGCTTTGAGGTTTCTTACGTGTTCAAACAACATAGATAAAAAGAATGAAAAATGGAAATATGGGGGAATTATGAATGGACGTGTTTCAAAATAGCGCTTTTTCTCATGGCTTGAGAGGGGAGGGGAGGATCGAGGCTGATAAGAATCAAATATTGCATGTCATTATCTAGGCCTACTCTACTATCAATAGACAGGCTATATATTTATGTGTGAACATTGATTTAAAATATCTTTAAAACACTATAATGGAAAGCATTTCCCTCAACTTCAAATCAGTTAAGTACTTGTGTTTTCCATGCTTTGTGTAAATATTGCCAATTGTTTTACAGTTGAGATGTTTTTAACGTAATATAATGGCATATTCGGTGTTTGTGTGTATGAGAAAGAGAGAGAGAGAGGGAGAGAGAGAGAGAGAGAGAGAGAGGGAGAGAGAGAGAGACAGAGAGACAGAGAGAGAGAATATGTGGCTTAACTGGGATGTGGTGTCATGGGGGGGGGGGTCGGGCGACAAGCAGAGCAAGCAAACGGGTGGGAGAGAGAGGGGATGGGAGGGGTGGGAGGGGTGTCCCCTTCGACGGTGAGAGCTTTTTGCATTTTGATGTTTGTAATCTTGCAATTTGGTGCATATTCATGGTATTTTTTATCGATTTGAAAAGGTCTTTAACATTTAGAAAAGGAAGAAGTTTTGCTCTTTCAGAATGTATGAGCTGCAGATATTTCAACTCAACAGAAACATTCGTATGTCTAACGAATGATGTGTAAACTGAGAACACTAATCTGATTGGCTTTTGTATAATAATGATTATAATAATGGCCCGGGGATATTGGCTGGCAAGCAGTCAAACAGTAACATACTAAAATACAAGTACAACAACCACAACCATCACTGTCAACAACAACAACAACAACATTTGTCATATTTCAGTTAGGGGGCAAACTGCGCCCCCTCTCTCCCCCCCCCCCCCCCCCCCCCCCCCCCACCTTTCATACGCTAGTGGATAGAGTCCCCAAATAACGCGTTCATATCAAAACCAGGATCTGACATGCTTTGTGAAAATCTGAGAGATTTTTTAACAATTCAAATGTTTTCAAGATATTCAATCGGAGAGGGACACAGAGAGAGAGAGAGAGAGAGACAGAGACAGAGACAGAGAGAGAGAAGGGGTGGGTGGTCCCCTACAAACAATAATTTATATCAGAAATATCGGAAATCTGACAAGTTAGGATTCTAGTATTCTTAGATTTGCATAATTATTTTACCACACTCCATATAGACTATATTGGTGTAAACAAAATCATATTTTTCCTCATTTACATTCACTCCCTACCGTCCCGTCCCCCCCCCCCCCCCCCCCGCTCCCTACCCGCCACACCAAGAAAGGAGAAAGGAAAAGAGGCGCTTATCAGAAGGGGAAAAGGACACTTCTCTAACTGGAAAAGTAAAGGAGAACATGTTTAAAAGTTTCAAAAAGACAATTTTCCCTCAAAATTTTCCCTCAAAAACAAATCCAAAATCGGTTGAACTTTTTTAGACCCCTCCCCAGGACGTCGATCGATTACATGTATGTGCCCCCCCCCCCCAAAAAAAGCAAAAAAACATCAAACTCTGGCTACGGTGAAATGGGATAATTTATGAGAAGGGGAAGAGCCTCTTATTAAAAGGGAAATAGGGTAATAATTGAAAGGAAAAGGGACACGTATCAAACTAAAAGGGACGCTTATTAGTAGGGGAAAAGCACTTTTTACAAAGAAAAGGAGCACATGTCAAAGAAAAAATGAACAATTATCAGAGTTGAAAATGGGCACTTCTCGCTTCTGAAGAGGGGCACTCACCAGAAATGAAAAGGGGAACTTATTAC